TAGTCTTACTTTAATCGAAAGAGACGTTTACTGCTATTGGCTTTGTGTTATCTTGATGGGGTTGATTTTACGTCTCTTTTAAGTAATCGAAATAGCTCAAGGATTTATTGATTTACCCAGTCCATGAGAATAATCGAGAGGTATTCTCCGAAAGATCGTTCATTCACTAATTTTGTGTATACATTCATAGGGCATGTTATTGGGTTACCTAAGGGAATCAAATTCATTCAGAAGAAGAATCTAAATCTTTGAAGTAGCCTAATCATCTGTTGAAATCGAAAGAATCGATAGAAGTTAAGAGTGAATCTAGCATAGAGTTACCGAGAATAATAGTTGATCACATATCTTGTCATCACCCTTCCTTCTTTCATTGATATTCCTTTATTTTTACTAATCATTTGGGTATCATCAGTTTCTTACAGATGATAATCGTAGTTTATTTGTAGTCAACAATAATATAAATCAAAAGGTTGATTATCCTGGATAGTGTTAAGCTAAAGTATTAATAGAACATTAGTGAAACCAATCCATGTGGAGACGATTCAATACTATACCATGTTTGACTAGCGAGCCCAAGTTTATACGTCGGTTTTGCACTCGTCAACAAAGAAACTCAAACTCAAAGTACAATGTCGTGTATAAAAAACTACTCTTAGTCTTAGGCATTTTTACTCTTGAAAACAGACTTATGAACTCTTTCCTAACTCTAACATATACTCCCACACATTTTTACAAGCATAAGGGTGATGCACATTTATAGATCATATGACCTCCGTTTACCTTTACACTTGTCGCTCTTAGGCTTAGACACTTGTCCCACACAATTCATTATTTTAGCCTAATGTAGTTGATATATTCCAACTACTAGGATCATGCTAAGATAATGGAAATAAGGCTCCAAAAACGTTCTAGTAACCACCTGCCAGATTTGAGCAAAAGCAACTGCTGCCCATGTGCACATCATGCTCTCACTGATACTGTATGCCTCAACCTTTTCCGTTTATCTCTAGCAATACAAGATGTATTGCTAGGAAGGAACTGATCCTTTAACTTCTTTAGAAGCCGCTCCCACGACTCAATCTTCGGTTTGCCCATACTTTCATCTTCAGCCACATGAGTGCGCCACCACAACTTAGCATCTTCACTCAAATATATGCTAGTCAAGGTTAATTTTTCCTTTTCATCTTGTACACGAATAGCATGAAAGTAATGCTCCATATCTCAAAGAAAATTCTCCAATTCACTTGCACTCCTTGCACTACCAAATGCCTTAGGTTCAGGAATTTTTACCTTGAGACGATCAACACCACATTGAGGAGCATCCTCGCCCGCAACGCGTCACAATACAATCGTCTCGCTTTTCATATCCGCATTCTCTTGACTTAACCTTGCCAATTTTGCCTCAATATAGGCAAGCTTTGTCACGAGGGTCTAAATTTCGCCACCTTCAGAAATATTTTCAATCAATATCTCCAGTTTCGTTAGCCTTTCCCGTAGTTCATTGTTACCACCGGCCATGTTCTCAAACAAGACTACGAAATCTGCAATTGATCATCGTGCCTCCGTCATGAACATACTCCGCTCTAATACCAGCTATCATATGTCTGATTTTCATCTGCCAAAACCAGCATGTGTGGTAGTCAGGCCACACACCCAACTTTAACTTTCTCACAACACTTAGCCAAAATTTCAGCAACTTTGGACTTAGAATATTTTTAGGCAGCTTTCAATGTAGTAAGTTTTATGAACAATTTAGGGCACGAAATTAAGTAAGGAAACAGTAAATAAACAAGAATACAAAGAACAATATACACAAAACTCTTTCCCAACTTTGTATTTAACTCGAGCACACAAAAAAATTCAAACTCAAAGTACAATACCGTGTACAAAAGACCACTCTTGATCTTCAGATTTTATCACACAGACTACTCTTTGGCTTAGGCGTTTTCACTCTTGAAAACGGACTTAGGAACTCTTTACTAGCTCTAACTTGTATTCCCACACGTTTTTACAAGCATAAGGGTGCTGCATGTTTATAAATCATGTGACAACCCTTTGTCTTTACACTTGCCGCTCTTAAACTTAGACACTTGTTCTACACAATCCACTATTTTAGCCTAATGTAGTTGACATCTCCCAGCTACTAGGATCATGCTAAGATAATGGAAATAAGGCTCCAAAAATATTATGGTAACCACCTGCCAAATCTGAACAAAAGCCAATTGCTGCGCATGTGCACAACATGTGCCTTGTAACCGCCATTGACTTGGTCAAGCTGAAGCTTGCTGCACATGTGCGTGCCTTGACTTGAATCAGGCGCCAATGTCTTGCTCTCAGGTGCATTGAAGCCACATCAAGCCTTTGCCAATGCTCATACACATAGCCCTTTGTCACGCCCCAATGTCATGACAAGTCTATCTTGCGCGCATGTCTTCATTGCACTTAGCCTGCCCTTGCCCACTTCGTTTTTGCCTTGCCATAGCATCATTGCCTCACGCCTTGATGCCTTTGCCATGCCATAGTGTCACCCACAATCTGCATCTCGATTGTCAAGCCTTGCCTCCTTCAAAGCCTTGGCTATTACTTGCCCGTTTTCCCTTGTGCCTTGGTGTTAGCTCGCACACCTTAGCTTTGCAACACTCCCTCGTGACAACACTCTTGTTGTCAAGCCAAGCTCAAAGATGCGGACCCCTAACAAGATGTTACCTTACTTTTACCCCAAATATTCCTAAAGTTTGCATTGTTCTTGTTTACGTATCAAACAAACCGGCTCATAATTGTATTTGTTAAAGACTGAGAAATAGTTTGCTAGATGAAAACGTTCAACCTCTGCTGAATATATAATAATAGAAGCGAACAAAATCAATCAATGGATAAATTGGTCAGTGCAACAAAATTTTGGCCATTTTTAGGATTTTAATTTCTTGTTAAGAAAAAAATAATGAATTAAGAAAGCTTTTATGCGCTATCTGTTCGATTTTATATGGTAATAGTACTACGTGAATCAAACAATCTTTTTCTTTCACTATGTTTTTCATATATTTTAATTATTAGAAATTATGATATATAAATTCAATTTTTCAAAAATAAAAAATTTAATGTTTGAATTGAGATAGAAAATTACTCCATCCGTTCTAATTTATGTGAATCTGTTTGATTGGACACGGAATATAAGAAAAAATGAAGACTTTTAGAATTTGTGGTCCTAAACAAGTCAAAAATGGGCCTAGAATATTTGTGTGGTTATAAAAGCTTCTCATTTAGGGTACAATTGTAAATTTAAGCTAAATTATTACCAAATTTAGAAATATGTCATTTTTTTTTGGAACGGACAAAAAAAGTAAATATGTTCACGTAAATTAGAATTGGAAAGATAATTTGATCTCGTATTCACCAACCTAACGAATCCTTCTTGAAACGGAGGAAGTAATTATTGGGTCAAATACATAGACGGTCTCTTAAAATTGTCACTTTTCATTTAAACACATTGATGGTTGCTAGAAATGTACAAAATAGATATTTACTTTTACACACTTTACGTATATCAAGACGACGACAACAACAACAACCCAGTAGAATTTCACTAATGGAGTCTGAGGAGGGTAGTGTGTACGCAGACTTTACCCCTACCCAAAGGAGTAGGGAGACTGTTTCCGAAAGACACTCGGCTCAAGAAAACAAAAAGATAAAACGACAAGAGGAGACAACATTAGTATCACCACAACAATTATAGAAAAAATAGGAACAGAAGAAAGAAGAGAAAACAACAAATTTTTTCCTATTTTACCCACAGTATTTATTACCATTTCAAATTATTTTTTCAAATTCAATAAATTAGGCATGAATTAATACGTGTAACATGATAAATTATGCAATTCATTTATTTATTATTTATGGAGGGGCGTGAAAAGTAAAAAAAAGTGACCGGAGAGTAAACAACATGAAGAAGAAAGCACAAATTGGACAGTTCTAAACAAAGCAGAACGCAATGCAGAGGGTACAAATTTCAATATTGCAAGGAAAGGAAATTAAATTTCCCATTAGGGAAATCAAAAGCTCTGGCAGTTCTGTAATATAAATGCTTGTGCCAGTCCTGGAGTGGGAATTTGTAAGCATTCCTCCCAACCAGAAAAAAAAAAAGAGAAGAAAATTAAGCGGCGGTTCAACGACGACGGCCATCAGTTTCTTCAATGAAAACCACAGCTGGATATTTCATGAAGCCATTTCCTGAAAATACTCAATTAATTTAAGTTACTTGCTAAGGTTTCCTGATTGCCATGTTTGTTTTCTTACTTGTGCTGTTCTCTTTGCTGAGGTGCTTCTTTTCTTGGTCGATTTTGTTTTGTTACATTTGATTTGTTAAACCAGAGGGAAATGATGGTGCTGGTGAGGATATAATGGTGATAATGGTTTTTGGAAAATATGATTTGTTCGGAGGGGAAAAAAGAACAAAAATATGAGTTGAAACCCAGTTAACGCGCCTTGGAGAGGTGAGAAATATACTGTGTTTAATTGGCACATTTTTGACATACCTAAGGTGTTTAATAGGTCCTATCTTTAGTTGAAATGTTTAGATCAAAAATCATGATAAGTTCAAGAGGGCAAGGGCCCATCTATCTATTCGATCGTCCTAATTATTAAGTAGGCAAAGCTAGGGAGAGTGATTCCCTTTTTTCTATTTCTTTGGAGCAATAATTCTATTATATCAGTTGACTAGACCCAATATCAATAATTCCATTCACTCAACCTTCATAGAAACTTCCATTTTTAAAGTTTATTTGTTCTCTCTTATATATAACTTTGTGGAAATAGCTCGCATCAATTGATTTCTCACCACAACTAAAATCTGTCGATAAATTGCTATCTTTCACATAACTGATTCAATCCATGGCATCTTCTTCTTCCCGTGGTTCTTCAAATCGTTCTCAATGGAATTATGATGTCTTTCTAAGTTTTAGAGGAGAAGATACTCGCAAAACGTTTACAAATCTCAAGGAATTATGCCTGAAGTAGTGAAGATCATGGAATGCAAGAATGAATATGGACAAACAGTCATACCTGTCTTTTATGATGTGGATCCATCACAAGTTTGAAACCAAAGGGAGAACTTTGCAGAAACCTTTGACAAACATGAATCAAAGTATAAGGATGATGTTGAGGGAATGCAGAAGGTGCAAAGATGGAGGACTGCTCTAACTGCTGCCGCAAATCTAAAAGGACATGATATCCGTGACGGGTGAGTTAAAAATACATAATTTCTTGTAATTAATAATAAAAACATAATAATTTCCTTCCAAATTAGGATGCTTCTATGAGCCAACGTGACTGCACAATATAATTTTATTAAGTGTCATTTAGATGTTAGAAATGTTCTTTAAATTTTCAGAAAAAGAATGGTGGTTGATTATATATGTTTTTGTCCGTAATAGAAGGCGTGGTTCCTATCAATTTAATTTTCAATGACATTGTTACACAGATAATATTTTGATTGGTTCCTCAAGAGTTTGATATATGTTTTAGTCCTTTCGTCATATTTCTGCTCACCAATAGCACGAAATACTTCATCTTGACTTTCTTATCTATATCAACAATCTTTCTTACATTCGTAGGACTGAATCAAAGAGTATTCAGCAGATTGTTGACCAAATTTCTACCAAATTATGCAAGACTTTATCTTCTTTGCAAGATTTTGTTGGTATAAATACTCATTTAGAGAGACTAAGATCTCTACTTAAGACAAAGACCAGTGATTCTCGGATTGTGGGGATTTGGGGTATGGACGGAGTAGGTAAGACGACAATAGCAAGAACCATTTTAGATACTCTCTCCTATCAGTTTAAAGCTGCTTGTTTCCTTGCGAATGTTAAAGAAAATGAAAAAAGACATCAACTGCATTTTTTGCAAAATATCCTTCTATCTGAATTATTAAAACACAAAGCTCATTATGTCAATAATAAGGATGATGGGACGTGCATGATTATGAGCAGACTTCGGTTTAAGAAGGTTCTAATTGTGCTTGATGATATATATCACAACGACCATTTGGATTATTTAGCAGGTGATCTTAGTTGGTTTGGTAATGGTAGCAGAGTTGTTGTAACAACAAGAGATAGTCATTTGATAGGGAAGCATGATGCATTGTATGAAGTGACTATAGTAACTGATCATGAAGCTATTCAATTGTTCAATCACCATGCTTTCAAAAATGAAGTTCCAAATGAACGTTTTGAGAAGCTCTCTTGGGAGGTAGTAAATCATGCTAAAGGCTTTCCTTTAGCCTTGAAAGTGTGGGGTTCTTTCTTGCATAAGAGAGGTATTACTGAGTGGATAAGTTCTATAGTGAAAATGAAGAATAAATCTAATATGGATATTGTTGAAAAACTCAAAATTAGTTATGATGGTTTGGAGCCGATAAAACAAGAGATGTTCCTAGATATAGCATATGTTTCTTCCGAGGGAATGAAAGAGATGACGTCATGCAAATCCTTGAGAGTCGTAATTTTAAAGCTAATATCACATTGAGTGTCTGTTACGCCTCACATTATTACATCGATGTTACGCTTTGTAGTAATTTATTACGATGATGTTACGCTCTGCAGTAATTTATTACGACGATGTTACGCTCCGCAATAATTTATTACGATGATGTTACGCTCCGCAGTAATTTATTACGACGATGTTACGCTCCGCAGTAATTTGTTACGATGATGTTACACCCTGTAGTATTGTACGTTGAATATGTTGTAAGATAATTGATATCAGTTCAAGGACAAGATTATTTGGAAATTATAAGTATTAGGCAATTTCAAACAAATGATGAGCAAATTCGTGAAGGTGAAAGGGTAAAGAATCAAAGAAAATGAGTTTCGTCGAAATTTGACATTTTGGGATAAAATATAGACCGAACTAAAATACTCGGTATTTATGGACTAGTACCATACAAGGTACCACATGACTAAGATAGTAAGATGTATGAGGTATGTTAAAAATGAGTAGTATTTTAAGTAGTTTGAGATAATTCTTAATTATGTGAATTATTGAATTAGCGGGGGATTAATGAGTTGATTAAGGAATTAAGTGGATGATTTTTGGATAAATCTTATAACCATTTATGTGGCAGCCCATCACTATAATTAATGACTCATGAATTATGTTGCAAAATGACAAAATTAGGTGAATTTTGGGTGGCTTAGTCATTATGCAAATGGGGCCCACAAATCTTAATTTTAAAGGACTTGCATATGTCTTTAAGTGAGACACTTACGGATGGAAAATCTAAAACAAGATTCATTTGATTCTTTGACAAAGTGAGATAAAGTAACGTGAGTTTGCTTCAGCAAGATCATACAAGAACATGTATATACATGTAACGTGAGAATTTTAGCATCTTCAACAAAATCATTTAGTAAGGGAGTTATACAGAAAGGCAAAGCCAAGAACGAAGGTGAGGGAATTTGGAAATTCATACGAGACTCCATATTATAATAGCGACGGGATTTTACGATTCTAAGGGAGTACGATGCAATCTTTCTCAAGAATATCATAGGGAATATTTCCTACTCTAGGTATGTTAAGGCTATCCCTTCTTTTTTTTTGGCATGATCCAAATGATACAAACGAAACGAGCAAAATATGCAACTTTCATAAATGACTCTATTCATAGAAATACTAGGGGTGTCTATATTCTTGATTCCCTATGTGAATTATTATTATATCCTCTATTCATGGGTCGCAGAAAAATACGTATTTGATAAAGTTTATCCGAAAGGCATATTGATTTTATGATATTCGAGAAATCTTATTAATATATTTCTTCTGCATTTCATGCACTTATACATGTACATTGACCCATGATGAAGGCGTTATATAATCGTATATTATATGTATATGGGATATGAAAAAAGGTTACATCGTTATATACGCACCACAACCTGATCAGCTGGTATACGTTGATGATTTGCCCACAGTGGCCGAGATGATATGATGGGATTCCCTCAGAGGTTTGATGATGTTATGAACGCATATACCTAAATATGGTATGATATTTATACGCATATGCACGACATTGTAAATATTAATGATGCACAGAGTTATTTAGACATACATGTCGAATCTTTTACTCTATGTTTTTTTCATGTCTATTGTTTACTGATTTTCATTCCTTACATACTCGGTACATTATTTGTACTGACGTTCCTTTTGCCTGGGAACGCTATGTTTCATTCCTGCAGGTCCCGATAGACAGGTTGATAGTTCTCCTAGTATGCTATCAACTCAGCAGAAGGTGTTTGTGCACTCCACTTGCTCCGGAATTGCCTATTTGGTCACTATGATTTGAATATGTATTGATTGGTATGGCAGGGCTCTGTCCCGACCTTTATGATATTTATGTACTCTTAGAGGCTTGTAGACAAATATCATGTATACGGATATTGGTATGGCCTTATAGGCCAGTACGCCGTATTTATAAGTCGGTATATCAAGTTGGGTCACCCTATATTGAGTATTTCCTAATGTTTTATTCTACTTATCTCACGACCACCTCTCCGGCTCATTTACCTATAATAGTATGATACGAAAGATACATTATGTTGGTACTCGGTTGAGTAAAGTATCGAGTGCCCGTCACGGTCCATCGGTTTGGGTCGTGACAAAAGTGGTATTAGAGCAGTTCTGTCCTAGGGAGTCTACAAGCCGTGTCTAGTAGAGTCTTGTTTATGGGTGTGTTGTGTACCGCACTTATAAGCATAAGGCTATAGGGCATTTAGGACTGTCATTCTTTCTTCTTACTCTAGATCGTGTGGTAGAGCTCAGTTGTAAGAACTCAATTTCCTAAACTCTATCTTATTCATAATACGATGATGCCTACATCCAGAAAGACGGTTGGTAAGAGATATAGCTGTGGAAGAGTTGAGTCAAAGGAACTCTATTTTTCCATCATGCTTATGATTGATAAATATGAGGTATTCAGCAGATCATGTGTGTAGTAAGACGTGTAAGCTTCTTGATAAGGAGCCTTAAGGCAAGAATATACCCATACGGTAAAAAGGAATAAGAGAATCGGAAGGTAGATACAAGTTTTAATAAGTAAAAGAAGCAAGGTGAAGAAGGGAATAATGTACCCAGTTAGTAAAGATGAACATTATCTACAATTCAGGAAGAGAGATATAAGCATTTTGAGTTACCTTCAACAGTAACATAGGTATGCACAATTGGCCACACCCAGATGGTGCACTCTAAAATAGTACAGCTAGATACGAGTACTACAAAGATAGGCGCTAGAAGCCTTGAAGGGATAAATATTACCTTAGTGTGGATCCCGTCACAGGTAGAGAAAGAATGTTAGGCAACCCGAAGAGCCAGTAGATGGATCAAGGGGAGATAAAAAGCAAAAGAATATCTTGTTCGAGTTTTTAGAATAAAGTGATAGATAGAGATGTTGGCAGGGAAATAAGAAGAGAGTTAATGAAGCATTATAAGTAAGATGTGATATATGGATGACAACGGTAGATCAAAAAGATGACATTATTACAGAGTTTATAGTCAAGTGAAGGAAAAGACGAGAGGTGATAGGCCTTGAGACAACAAAAGAGTATAGGCCATAAAGTCATATCCTCATTTCGAGAAATAAGTTCGTTACTCCAACGTGATTACCAAAAGGAAAAGTTAGACCCCAGAGTAATAAGAAATCAGCACGGACTGATGAACAAGATAAACTAAACATGAACTAGGGACTGGGTAATAGTCGGCATCATGAGAATATCAGAGATTGCATCCCTGCGATAATAGAATGGAGGACAGAAGAATACCCTTTAAAGGTCATTCAGGAAGACGCTTCCCTAAAGCAAGCAAGGTGAGCAAAGTTAAACTTAAGGGACTGTATGTGCCAGTTACACTAAGTGTCACCCTCGCGAGTGAGGAATTTCATTATCTTTGGTACAGAAGGATTACCGCGAGGAGAGTAAGGATCATCGATAATGTGAAAAGATGCCAAAGATGAAAAGGTAAAACATCTATATGTAGATCCTCGTAGCTCCAATTCTTAGTACTCCCCTAAAGGGGAGAATATGGAGTGATGTGTCATTAAGTCAGAATTAAGTGGTTCTAGTAACTATGGAATGGTAAAAGAATGCGATAAAAAAGGAGAAAAGGGATGAAATTGCACTGATTCAAATCCTACATATATGATACGATTCCAGAACATTATGCAAACACGATGTCAAGGAAAGGAAGTAAGGGTTCCTACCCGAGATGTTATTGATAAATAAGGAGCCAGTGCAAGACGTAAGTTAAGACAAAAGAAATAACCCAAGAGGTATTACACGGAATACATATATGAAAATGGACCAACGAGCAGTTAGTAGTTAATTCAGGAAGAGTTTAGTTATGGCTAGACAAGAGGTTACAGAAAAATCAACAGATCATGTAAGATAAACATAGTGAACCCCAACGTGGGAATTCAATCTCGCAGATACGACATTGTGGCCCTTGAGAAATATTCAGATAAGAGTTGGGTAGTTAAAGGTACCGTATGAATGTTATGAAAATAAAATATAGTCTCACTAGGAAGACAGTCAAAACTTTAGTTCAGGAGCAACCCTACAAGCACAAGAGCGTGGAAATAAGTAACTACGGATAATTATAGGCAAGGAAGAACATCAAAAATTCCGTCAAGTATACGATGTAATAAGCTCGCAGCTTTACAAGAGTCAGAGGGTCTTCTCTAAGTACTACAATGAAAGACTAGCTGAGAAAATAAGGAAGAAGGCTTCAACCTAAGCACAGCAACCTAAAGAGGAAATGGTCATGTAAAAAAAAACAGTCTCACTACAATATTGTATGCACTCCATAAGAAAGTGGCACCTACCGTGGCTAATGAATGAGAAGTAAAAATCAAAAGTAACATTCGGATCATATGAGTTGCAAGAAAACTCCGGCATACGTGGGAACTAAGATAAGCTAAGTATGCAAGCAACAAAGGGGGAGAAAGACCAGGAAAGGTAATATCTTACGTTTAAAGAAAGTTGAGAAGGAACGAAAGGAATTATTCGACCAATGATATAGAGTGAGTTACATTATGAATGCACTCAAGATTTTGGAGTATTATCCATGAAGTATATATGTTGACAATCATACAGCCGTAGAAGACTCCGGTATAAGTTAAAATAAAGAATTGAGTCCAGGTCATAGACAAAGGATTGAATCGTTAGAAGATTGTATCATGGATATTTCATAGCATCCATGAAAGGCTAAAGTAATAACTAATACCATGAGCCGCAGATTAGAAGATAGCTTAAGCCTACACAAAGGCTGGTCAGAATGAAGAGGAAACTAAAGAGTTACATCAACGGAAAAAATCAGGAGTCTGATTATTGGACCTAGAAAATTTTAGACATCATAATTGAGAACATTGCAGAATCACTCTTAATATCAGAGGTACATGAGAGATAATACAACAACCATATTATATAATGGCTCTACGACAAAGCCAGTTAGAAGAGTACCGGCCTCATAAAAAATCAGTATGAATCTCTCACCGGATTGTGTGTGCACCAGAGGTGCAAGTATTATAATAGAGCTTCAAGTTGTGGATGTGAATTATACCTGTGTGGAAGGGAGGTC